GTATTACACTTATTGTTTTTATGCTTAAACCCTTTTTCGTCTTTGACCCAAACACATACACGGTCAAAAGTTTGGAATAAAAAGAAGCCTCTTATGCTCACCGAGACTGCATTATTTGATCAAAATACACCAAGTATAACATTGCTAATAAGAATAAATGTTTTCTTGAGCAGCAAATCAGCATATTAGACTGATTTCTGAAGATCCATGTGACTGAAGACTGGAGTAATAATGCTGAAAATTCAGCTTTGATCACAGGAATAAATTACATATCGAAATGTGTGTGTATATATATACAGTGGGTACGGAAAGTATTCAGACCCCCTTAAATTTTTCACTCTTTGTTATATTGCAGCCATTTGCTAAAATCATTTAAGTTAATTTTTTTTCCTCATTAATTTACACACAGCACCCCATATTGACAGAAAAACACAGAATTGTTGACATTTTTGCAGATTTATTAAAAAAGAAAAACTGAAATATCACATAGTCCTAAGTATAGCACCCATTTGATCTAATACAGCCATGAGTCTTTTTGGGAAAGACGCAACAAGTTTTTCACACCTGGATTTGAGGATCCTCTGCCATTCCTCCTTGCAAATCCTCTCCAGTTCTGTCAGGTTGGACGGTAAACGTTGGTGGACAGCCATTTTTAGGTCTCTCCAGAGATGCTCAATTGGGTTTAAGTCAGGGATCTGGCTGGGCCATTCAAGAACAGTCACAGAGTCGTTGTGAAGCCACTCCTTCGTTATTTTAGCTGTGTGCTTAGGGTCATTGTCTTGTTGGAAGGTAAACCTTAGTTCCAGTCTGAGGTCCTGAGCACTCTGGAGAAGGTTTTCATCCAGGATATCCCTGTACTTGGCCGCATTCATCTTTCCCTCGATTGCAACCAGTCGTCCTGTCCCTGCAGCTGAAAAACACCCCCACAGCATGATGCTGCCACCACCATGCTTCACTGTTGGGACTGTATTGGACAGGTGCCTGGTTTTCTCCACACATACCGCTTAGAATTAAGGCCAAAAAGTTCTATCTTGGTCTCATCAGACCAGAGAATCTTATTTCTCACCATCTCGGAGTCCTTCAGGTGTTTTTTAGCAAACTCCATGCAGGCTAGAGTGAAAAATTTAAGGGGGTCTGAATACTTTCCGTACCCACTGTATATATATATATAGAGAGAGAGAGAGAGAGAGAGAGTATAATTTAAAATAATTATATAGAAAATATTTATTTTAAATTGTACGAATATTTCATTTTATTGTACTTTTGATCATAAACATTAAAAATCTGCATTAAAAATACATAGTGTTTCCCAAAGGCAACATACCTAAACATCACTTAAAATTATTTTCAAAAAAGTTTTACTTTAAGTAAAATTCAATTTAAACACATGTTTTAAGCTGCTTGTAACTAGGGCTGGGTATCGTGTTCGATACTTTTTAGGCACCGACCGAATTGCCTCGACCAGCCCCCTTAGATGTAAGGCTACATTTACACTGGTTTATGTTTTAAAATGAAAACGATCCTCGTCATACTGGCGTTTCAAAAACTTTTTTTAGATAATGTAATCTTGTTAAAATTGATTTCATAAAATAGGTATCGAAAAAAGTATCGTTCAGGAACCGGTATCGAAGTCAAGGTATCGGTATCGATATCGAAATTTTTTGAACGATACCCAGCCCTACTTGTAACAGAGTGTGCTCTTCATTCACAGTGTACTCTTTCGACGGCATTCTTGTATTCGGGCTTCTTTTCATTTGCACGTGTGCTTACCTGAAGAAGGTCCCTCGTCTGAACAGCTGGCTCTTGTCTGAGAAGAAGGGTGTCTGGGGAGTCTTTTACAAAGGTTAGTGCTCTGTTGGAGCTGCACTGAAGATCATTATGCTGCAGTGAGTTTTCACGCTCTCTGTGTTTTCTCTTCTGTCTGCAGCTGCAGTAATAGGCACACGGCTCCACATCGCTGTGGGGGCGTCCTGTATGTGTATGGCGTTCTACCTGATTTTTCTGAAATGACCCGGATGAATCGCTCTCTCTGGACACTGGACTGAACGCCAATAGAAATGATTGCTGGCGAGTATCGCCGGCTGCTGGAGGAGATGCACAGAGAGCCGACTCCACCTGCAGTTTAGCACCCATTTAAGACCTGCTTTGCATTTTTGTAAATGTTTAACTTAAGATTAGATTTCGGGTAAACTCTGTTTTAGTTATGAGTTAAACGGTAACTGAAGCACCTACTTATGGATTCAAACGTCACATCTTTTTCTTGCGTTGTTCTCTCAAACATGCACACTTTTTGCTTGGGCTTAGAGGGATACAGTTAAGAAGGCAGAAAAACTATGTTATCTTGTACAAAGTTGTTTTTATAAAAATGCCATTTACTGAGAGCTTCCATATTTTAGCTTTTGGCATCCTGAATGGCTTATGTCATTATTCAAATGTTTGTAATAAACATAAGACCTGTTGTTTGCAGCATGGAAGTTTTCCATAGACTTCATGGAAACTTTCATGTTAAAATAGGCAAACTACTCATGCTATTAGATCGAAACAAAACTTGTACAACATAATTTTTTGATACCACATATGTCCTGGAATATTATATTGTACACCATGTGAATTCTTTGTAAAGACGTGTCTGTTTGGTTCAGTTTGATAAATACACTGCTAACCTGGCTCACATAAAACCACAATAAACATATGGACATGCTTTCATATTATATGTGGATAATATATTATTGGGGAAATACACTACAAGTTGGATCTTAAATATAATCGAATGAGGGTTTCAGCTTGCTAACTGTTTATTAACCATGCTAATGTCACTTTTTAACACTTAAAGCAGCACAATGTAACTTTTTGTGTTCAAAATTTGCTAAATGTATATAATGAGCGAGTACATCATGAATTCATCTTCCAAACCGCGTTTTTGTCTTATTCCGAATCACTACGGTACACTAATAATAAGTACTTATATTTGGACTATTGTAGCCTGGTCGGGTCGTCACCGCTGCGGAGGAACACATACCTGCGTGAATCGCCATAGACATAAACTTAGAGAAGTAGCTCCGGTTGGAATGTTCTTCCGCGGGATGTGTGCAGTTCTGTTTATTAACCGCTAGAGCGCCAAAAGTTACATAGTGCTGCTTTAAGTCAAGAATTAACATAGGATGCTTCTGCTGATGCTAAATGTGTGGACTCCCTTTTCTTGTGTTGATGCGGTTTTGTCTATTACACGGCATAAATGTGTACATGCCAAGATGTTCTTTTGTATTTATGCATTCAAATGCATGTCCTAAAGCGTATCTGAACCTATCATCAACTCTTCATGTTCAAAAGTCAACAATGGAAGTAAAACGTTTCGTTTAGCCTGTAAATGTACACAGTAATTGCTCTATAGAAAATGATAGCTGTTGGGGGTTCATATTTATGAACATGTGGAACATAATAAATGCTTGATATAAAATCCTATGCAACACAATACTGTGTGTGAAGACGTTTCTTTGTGTGTGTGTGTGTGTGTGTGTGCTAACACTGTAACATACACATGTTACACAGCTTCTGCAAACAACTCATGAAAGCCAATGAACTAATTTTGCACATTTTCATAAATATATTTGACACAAACACAAATAAAACATAAGTACTTTACTATTAACTGTGTATTTAACGAGTATAAGCCAAGAAAAACAAGATTAACCCTGTAAGGCCCACTCATTTAGCTTGACTAAAATAAAGCTGCTCGGTTTTTTTTCTCTAAGACCACATTTACACAACTAATGGGTCCTAATCTTCAGCCTTGCATTGCTATTGGATGCTAGATTTTAAAAATAGGCCTATTTACCTGGCCATAAATTCACACAACCTGCGTGCGAACTTCCCTTGAAGCAGGTCATCTTGTTTTACTGGACTGGATAAATCTACATTCAAGTAAGTAAAATGGCTAAAATATTTTTTCTCTGTGATTATTAATATGTGTAGATCACGTAGATATTAAGGTATTGTTGAATGCATTGATCATTTTAGGTTTTGAGCTTGTTATGTCAGTGTTGTAATTTTGCAACGTTGGGTTAAAGGGGCAGCACAATTTGTACTTCTCATCTGTTCCATGTGAAAAAATACTAATAGAAACATACTGTTTTTGATCATTTTTGTTACCATTTTGAGATTCAAACAAGATTTTATGATTATTAATTGATAAGTTCAAGTTGAAGAATAAATTATTTCTTCAATAATTTGAAAGTAACAATATTTTAAACTATCTGTATCTTATCATTTATAAAATGTACTTATCTGGTCCTTTGCTTGTGAGCCCGAACATCTGCTTGCTGCATGAGGTGAGGTGAGAATGTTCTGGAATGTGGGGGTATATGTGCTATCAGCATGGTAAGTAAAGCGCACAATAAGCTATCAGACAGTACTGTGCGAATTCATGTTTGGGATCAATTTGCACTGATATTTTTAGCCTGGTCAAAATAATCCGGGTTTTTTTTCCATTTCAGAATGGCCGCCAGCCAAGAAAGACCGTCTCATATTATGTGTATGATATATCACTGGTGCTGTCCAAAATGAGAACAGTGACTTTGAGATGGACTGTGATACAAGAGAAGAAAGTTTTCAAGTCAAGTCATGAAGAATATTTTAAAGCTTTCATTCAGTTCATCAGGTTTTGTAAATATAATCAGAACATATTTTTGATAATAAATTTTTTTTTCTCATAAAAATATGACATTTTATCATTATTGTGTGATTATTAGTGTGTATACATATATAGACTATTGTAATGTATATTGTATTGTTTTTCTATATTTGGGTCTTCTAGGGTTAAAGAACCCTTAATTGAACGCAAATAAATTCTCCGAAGAATTGTACTATTGTTTATAGGCTTTCTTTTGCGTTTACACGTGTTTGCCCAGCAGATGTCCTCATCGAAGCAAGCGTTCATCACTTTACGAATTGATTCGAAGTTTTAGAAAACTTCGTTTCTCTGTTCACTTACCTGGTGATTAAAGAAAATGTAAAGTTAGAGGTGTGTTCAGTAGTTGTCCTTTATTCTGAATCCTTTAGTTTTGTGAGTCAGAGTCAGTGTCAGGAGGGTTATGTGATCCAATGAATGCATTAAGCATATTTAAATCAGTGCTGTTGAGATCGTTTAAATGCCAGTAATGCAATGTTAACTATTCACTCTGCACTTTAATTTCAATGGCTATAAAATTCCACATTTTTTTTTCTCATAAAAATATGACATTTTATCATTATTGTGTGATTATTAGTGTGTATACATATATAGACTATTGTAATGTATATTGTATTGTTTTTCTATATTTGGGTCTTCTAGGGTTAAAGAACCCTTAATTGAACGCAAATAAATTCTCCGAAGAATTGTACTATTGTTTATAGGCTTTCTTTTGCGTTTACACGTGTTTGCCCAGCAGATGTCCTCATCGAAGCAAGCGTTCATCACTTTACGAATTGATTCGAAGTTTTAGAAAACTTCGTTTCTCTGTTCACTTACCTGGTGATTAAAGAAAATGTAAAGTTAGAGGTGTGTTCAGTAGTTGTCCTTTATTCTGAATCCTTTAGTTTTGTGAGTCAGAGTCAGTGTCAGGAGGGTTATGTGATCCAATGAATGCATTAAGCATATTTAAATCAGTGCTGTTGAGATCGTTTAAATGCCAGTAATGCAATGTTAACTATTCACTCTGCACTTTAATTTCAATGGCTATAAAATTCCACTGCCAAGTTTTTGTTTATGTCGCGCCCAAACAACACCATGTGTTACCTGTTACTTTTCTCAGCGATTTTAACGATGAACCAATCATAGCGTTTGTCATCAGCAATGCTGAATGAAGTGCAAATGAAGTGAAGTAGCAAGTATTTAGCGCAGTACTATTATAACCAATGATTATTTTGTTTTATTGACGAAAGGATTAATTTTTTTATTATTATTCTTGAGAAGTATCAAAGCAATACTGTCTTTTTTGACGGGTATCTGAAAATGTTAAGAGATATTAACACATATTCTAATGTCCAATAGAAAAGAAGAAGATAAAAGCATAGACTATATTAGTCATTAATATTACTGGGACAGTTCCATAAACTGGCTCCAACAGCCTGTTTCACACACACACACACACACACACACACACACACACACACAGAGGTTTGTTTTTTTGAATTTTGGGGACTCTCCATAGGCGTAATGGTTTTTCTACTGTTCAAACCGTATTTTCTATTGCCCTACACCTAAACCTACCCCTTGCAGGAAACTTTCTGCATTTTTAGATAAAAAAAAAAAAAACTCAATCTGAATGATTTATAAGCCGTTTGAAATATGGGGACACTCAAAATGTCCTCATAAATCACCTTCTCGTTGTAATACCTATGTCATACCCATGTCATTATACAAATTTGTGTCCTCATAAA